TGTATGTATGTGTGGGAAGATTCGTTTCTTATTAATTGGTCAAGTAGGTTGGTCTTTTCTTAAAAAAAAACAAAAAACCATACGCCCCCACCACCCCCACCCCCCAAAAAAAAAACAAAGAAAAAACAACAACAACAAAAAAAAACAAAAAAACAGCCAGTATTTTAATGACACTCTATACATTTATACTGTGACCACCTATAATGTGTAAAATTTTAAACAATACATATCTACTTTGTGTGAAGTCAAAACATGTTTATTTTAAATTTACAAAAATACTGAGTTGCAATTATCAATATTTTCTTATATCAAATTTGAGCATAGTACATCTTTAAAATGTTCACAGAATCAACAACCAGATCAAATATCATTAATTTATTATTGAAGGAAGGTTTCTCAAGTTTTTAAAGGTCTAAGTATTAATGCCCATATATCATTTTAAATAAAACACGGTTCGTTCTAATTGGGAAGTGTCTTGTGTCCATAGACTTCTAGACTTCCAATTTCGTTTTGAGAAAGTACGGTGCTTAGTTTCACATGCTTAATTACTTGGTCTTGGAAGCAACAAAATGCTATCCACCGCTTAACAGTACTGTTATTAACAAGTGTATTACTACGCAGACGATAAAATAACTTATTTAATCCAGCCTCTAATACCAATTGTAACTTCAAACATCACTTAATGTTATTTTGTCGTTTTTATAGATACACGATCATATTTGTTTGTTTGTTTGATTGGGGTTTACGTCACATCGACACAGCGCCGTTCCAGCTTTACTGCTGGAGGAAGACCTCAGACGCCCTTCTGTGCATTATTTCAGGCACGAACGGGCATCTGAGTAGAACCACCGACGTTCCGTAATCTACCTGGATAGCTTCCTAAACAACATACTGATGTAATTCGTCGTATAATTATAAGTTGACGCGTAGTAACATCGTCTACAATCTTAGAATTAATGCATTTTATTGATTTAATCTTATAGGCAATTACATCTCCTCACCAAGTAACACTAATAATCCGCAAAATAATACAAATTATTACAAACTCTAGCATTTTATGACAGGACTTAAAAGGATTGTGTACATGTCGCCATTAGCAATTATAAACCATTCCTCCAATCAAAAACATACTGTAACGGAAACAAAATCAACTTGAATAATATCATGACAAATTGAAAAACTGAGTACAAGAACACCAGAAATTCTTTCTAAACAGTAAACATTATATGTATTCAATTTCTGAATAGTCGCTTTAAACATATGTTCGTTAACAATTTCAAAAACAACAAAAAGAAAATAAATGTACAGGAACAAAAAGAAAAAAGATAGATACATTCTATTGACTATTGACTAAATCTCTGAATAAAACTTTACTTGTTCTTACATCAATGAAACCATTATTCTAACATTCTAATTTTCTTGAAAACTAAAGTCAAAAGAAAAGCAATATATTATACAAACAAGGTTAGCTTTTAAAAAAGCTAGTAGCGACTCGCTTTGTAATTTTTTTTTCAAGGGGTGTGTTTAATGTAAAAATGACAGTTCTGTTAGCTGAATAGACTTCAGCGAACATCAAAATAAAAGTGAAGTCAACACTGGCCCGTTGCCCGATGGCCAGTGTATATAAGTTCAGGCCAGTGTAAATTTAAGAAAATTTTGTTAATTATTTAGTAGAATAAATTCAAAACTAGAATTCGGGCCAGTAAATTCAAAATCTTAAACTCATTGACTGAAAGTGGCATATAAAGTTTCTCTCAGTTTAACCAAGATGAGTATGAGTATATATGAAGTGCATGTAAACAGATTGAATAAAGAACCTTTGTCCTATGCACATTTACTATATGGCCTGATGACCTTGACCACAAAATGTTAGATAGGTAGATTTCATAAAGATGTCTCTTTATACAAAATTAAGTTGTAATACATGTATGTTATTTAGTATTGGAATGAGAGGCACACGTCCTAAAGTAAACACAAGTTGTCAATCAATTCAGCCAGAAAAGCCGGGATCCTATTAAACAAGAGGGCCATGATGGCCCTGAGGTCGCTCACCTGTATATAGCCCCCCCCCCGGGCCAATTTTTACCCAAGGGTTTTTATTTGAACAGACTTGGTAGACACCCATAAGAAGATGTTTCATGCTAAACATCTAAGTTCTAGCTCATTGGGTTTTTTAAAAGAAGATTTTTTAAGTTTTTACTATACACATATAGTTAAAAACAATGACACCCCTGGGGCCGGGGCCAGTTTTGACCCCCGGGCTTTTATTTGAACAAACTTTTGTAGATATTTTCTTAAAGATGTTTCATGTATAATATCTAAACTCAAGCTATTTTGGGTTTTTTCATAGAAGATTTTTAAGTTTTTGCTATACACATATAAGGAAAATCAATGACCCCCGGGGCGGGCCAGTTTTGACCCCAGGGCTTTTATTTGAAACATACTTGGTAGACACCCATTAGAAACATGTTTCATGCTGAATATCTTAGCTCTAGCTCTTTGAGTTCTTTAAAAGAAGATTTTTTTTAAGTTTTTACTACATGCATATAGGGAAAATCAATGACCCCCATGGGGCGGGGCCAATTTTGACCCAGGGCTTTTATTTGAACAAACTTGGTAGACACTCATTAGAAGATGTTTCATGCTAAATATCTTAGCTCTAGCTCTTTGGGTTCTTTAAAGAGAAGATTTTTTAAGTTTTTTACTATATGCATATAGGGAAAATCTATGACCCCCTGGGACGGGGCCAATTTTGACCCCAGGGCTTTTATTTGAACAAACTTGGTAGACATTCACTAGAAGATGTTTCATGCCAAATATCTAAGCTCTAGCTCTTACAGTTCTTTAAAAGAAGATTTTTTAAGTTTTTACTATATGCATATAGGGAAAATCTATGACACCCTGGGACGGGGCCAATTTTTTGACCCAAGGGCTTTTATTTGAACAAAACTTGGTAGACATTCACTAGAAGATATTTCATGTCAAATATCTTAGCTCTAAGCTCTTGGGTTCTTTTTAAAAGAAGATTTTTAAAGTTTTTTTACTCATATGCATATAGGGAAACTCTATGACCCCCTGGGGCAAGGGCCAATTTTGACCTCAGGGCTTTTATTTGAACAAACTTGGTAGACATTCACTAGAAGATGTTTCATGCCAAATATCTAAGCTCTAGCTTTTACAGTTCTTTAAAAAGAAGATTTTTTTTAAGTTTTTACTATATGCATATAGGGAAATCAATGACCGCCCTGGGGTCATGGGGGCCATTTTTGACCCCAGGGCTTTTATTTGAACAAACTTGGTAGACACTTGCACCTGAAGATGTTTCATGCAAAAATATCTAAGCTCTAGCTCTTTGGGTTCTTTAAAAGAAGATTTTTTAAGTTTTACTATAATGCATATAGGGAAAATCAATGACCCCTCTGGGGCGGGGGCAAATTTTTGATCCTAGGGCTTTTATTTGAACAAACTTGGTAGACACTGCATTAGAAGATGTTTCATGCCAAATATCTAAGCTCTAGCTCTTACGGTTCTTTAAAAGAAGATATGCAAAAGATTTTTTCTTTCGGTTGCCATGGCAAACAGAGTTCTGCATGAAATGGAATTGCTTTGAACAATCTTGATAGAGCTTTCATACAAAGAGTATTCCTCGCAAGTTTCATTAACATTGGCCTTGCAGTATCATATGCATAGAAGATGTCCTTAGAATATTTAAAATGTGGACGGACGACAGACGACGGGACGCCATTTGGTTGGCCATCCTAAAAGCTCACCTGCACTTTGTTGGCAAGGTGAGCTAAAAATATAGGGATCCCAGAAATTGACCAGTCTAAAGAAGAATGTTTTTAAAGATAAGCCGGGATCCTAGTTAAAAACCATATAGGCGAATCCGGGAATTGACCAATTCAAGTTAATTATAGTTTTTCAAGAAAAAAGCCGGTATCGTATTAAAAATGTACAATAGATCTCAGCGGATTGGCCAGTTCAAGTAATATAGTTTTCAGAGAAAGCTGGGATCGTTTTAAAAACATATAGGGATGCCGGGATTTGACGCAATTCAAAGAAATAATCTTTGATTTTTCCAATTAATTGGCATATAAATTATAAGTATTGTGATTTCCGCATTTTAAGTTTGTTAAATAAATACCTCTAAATATATCTATATTCTCAAGTTAAGATTAATTCTAACGTTTCATTATAATACATAAAAAAAAATAACGTTTAAAGCCTTTCATTACGACAACAATCAACACAATATTAGTTCATGTGGTTTTTTTCCCTCCATAATCTTATATGAGATCCCGGATCCCGGGCGTCCCGGATCCGGCCAGCTAAATGCATACACTAAATACCGGAAAGGATAAAATGACGGAAAAAAGGAAAATAAAAAATGCACAGAACCAGATGTACACTTATGTTAATTAACCAAACGAAAACTTTACTACAGAGAAAACAGGTGAAATCGCTAAATCAAAGTCAGTGTAAATATGATTTATTGAAAAGAATTCATAAAGACAAAACATTTTAATCATCATTATATCTTTTGCGCTCAAAACAATACTTGCTGATTTTTAAAAAATGGCGTGAAAATTGAAGGTTTTTTTGACGCTATGTAAGATTAAATTTGATTGGCTAAAATAATTTTGGATCCTAGCCCTGATAGATAAGTTTTGTAGAAAGCTGGAAGCCAAGCTTCGATTAAATTTTTGGATAGCTTCGGAGTTTTAGGTTGTTTCTCAGTAAAATCCTACCGTAATACCGGCTCGCCGTGGCGAGCCGGCATAACTACCCTTAATGTTGTCAGTACATCGAGGGTTTGGTGGGAAACGTTGATAACTCATACGACATTAAAAGGAGTTACAGCCTCTTCACAGCAAACCCATGACATATGCTTTTAACGTTACGTTCATTGAAAAAAAACAAACAAGGTGGGAAATGGTGAGTGTATAATTAGTATTTTTGGCAGCGAATGACGATGTATAAAGTACCTATTTGAACTTTACCTTTGTCTGCCTACTTCCTCAGACTCAAACTCCTCTTGCCGTTTCAGGACATCTTTAAGGATGGCTATTTCTTCTGGATTTAGTCCCGTTAAATCAGGGGATGGTGGACTCTCGGGCACGGACGCCCTTCTTTTTTCAGAATTGTTATTCTTTTTCTTTTTACCAGACGTTCGTAAAACCTAAAACAGATTTAGTTATGTAAGACATTTTTCGAGGTTTATTCAATCAAACATGTCTGAAGAATAGATTACAATATAAACCAATTGTGCATGTAACCAGAAATCAATATATATATATACTCGTATATAACGGTACATATTGGTTTACATTCCGTCTGTCAATTTGTCTGTCTGTAAGCGTGCCTGGCTGTTCGAAACTTTGAAGTCTGACACACGGAGAGAGCTTTGCTTTTCCATTGGGCCAGAATTGAGTTGATAAGGTAACAGAAAAATAAATACATGCATATAATTTCACAAATAAAAGAGAGTGAAATAATTAAAAGAAGTTAGTGAAACTTGGTAAATGAATAATTTGCAGTATTGAAATCATGACAAAACTTTGTTGTTTTTTTCCCTAGGATTGAGTTTGTAGATGGTGACGAAATGAGTCAAAAATTGGCTTCAAAAGAAAAAAGTATACACGGTAAATAAGATATATACTTGATATACATGGAAACAATTACGTGACAACTTAACATGCATGTCATTTTTTGTTTTTCTTTAAAGAAATTCAGTTTTGATCCAATTTTAAAAGCAATCCAGTAAATTTGGAATTTTGCTGAGAAAGCGGATCCTGTAGGGGGCACTATTCTTGGAAATGAAGAGTACATGTTTTTCTGGAATATGGAAATAAACTACGACAATCATTGGCTAAAATGACTTTATGGTGTCTTTATATTGAAATAACCCGAAATAGCTGGAAAAAAGTAAAGTAAAACACGACAAGAAAATCATTTTTTATGAAAAAAAACGACATTTCTATAAAAGACGTCCTAAAATTGCAATGTGTAAAAACCAGAAAACATAAATTAGGTTGGCTTTTAATTAATTCCTAGAAACGAGGGATGAGTCTTTTGACTACGACAAATTTAATAGATTATGATTTACATAAAAAAATAAAATGCAATATTTTCTAAGGCATAATGGACTATTTTCAAATGAAGCAGAAGATAGCTATAACAATCATTTAAAAATTTCGTCTGGTCCTTGTTTTTCCCCTCTCGATTGATTTACACACGCATAAATGTTGAGCAGCGGCCAATTTGTAAAGATATCTTTATATTATCATTGCCACCACACCCTTGCTGACTATTTTCCGACATTTTTTCAGTTTTGTTTCGTTGTAAATGTTCAGAGCCAAAAATATTGTTATGCCACGCCAATGACTGTCACAAATTGCCTTAATTTAGATGCTTTGCAAGACATATAGGATCTCTCTTCGGAGTTAACCAAACGAAATATTCATTCAGTTTGAACATTCTTTCTGACTATTTGTCTTAATTTGTGATATTAAGTTAATAAGCATTTGAAAAACAAGTAATTCCCTGGTCCATATTCTGAAACTGGACTAATTAGATAGTTTATATTGATACATTTGGTCTACCTTTCCTGTGCTTTTTATATTAGTTGAAGTTGATTAGTTTCTCATTTCGATTCTACTATTTGTAGTTTGTCTAATTAAGCTGAACATAGTTTTAACATCATACTATAGATGATGCATATTTTCCATGTTCAAACTCATCATCTAGTCGTGACTCAATTGGCATAAATCAATACACATATGAAGGATATCTTATCTGAACATGCAATTTATATAGATTTTAGCTTCGAATTTTAATTAGTTAAACATGTCTCATGCTCTAGAATTCATCCCCCGTAATTGTGTGTTCACGTTCCAAGTACATGTAAATATTTAGATTAATGTTAGTATTCTCATTTTAGAGAAACTGTTTGGTTTCATTGACATTTTAGATGGAAATGCTTCTTTTGAGTATTAATTATCTTAACTCCAACGACTTACACACTCACTATGTCATTTTAAATCCAAATGAGTCACGGCCTTCAAGATTATTTTGTATAGAAATTATACATATATAAATAACATTATAACTAAGTCGATGCAAATGCAATTTTAATTTCAAAGAATTTATTACTTAAGTTAAACAGCACCTTAAGTCACATTTTTGCATAACTGTAGACACGTTTGTGATCTTTTCTTTTTTGATAGCGTTTTCCATATTCTTGATCGGGGCATGTTTGTTAACATTCATTTTCAACTTAATGACATATATTTAGGTTATTTAACTTAAAATGCATTAGTCTAATTGTCTAAATTTCAAATAAATCGTATAAGCTTTTCTGGTAAACGTGTCACAGACTTGCTAAATTTGTTAAATTCATCTTAAGCCGGTGCTAGGGGGCGTGGACGGGAGCTTGTATTTTCCATGAACAGGCTCAATACAACCGAGACTGTAAACATTTCAATTTTGTCTTTTGGACGTTCTTCAGTGGTTCTTATTTACTCTTTTTTATAAGAGATAGTTTTAAACATATCTCCACATACGTATTTAGTGTTTGGTTTTCTTTGAAATATAAGATAGTTAATGATTGGAGTAAATGTTCAAGTAAGGTTGAGGTATTCATAACATTGTTGAAATAGATTTTCATTGTGCCTCAAAGTAATATAGAATTATTTTAAGACATGCCATATCTGATATAAGGAAGTAAATGAATTAGTACCTTTGTAAATGAATCCTTTAAGATAACCAGTCATAATTTACATAAAGTTTGTATGCTCATTTAATATAAGATGCAAGCTATGTTATAAAGTGTTTATGTTATAAAATAAAGCTAATAATAATGTTTTAGGTCAAGTGTCGGGTCAATGGTGGAATACACAATTGGGCCATGGCAAAGACCGGTAAAGCTTCTCTGCTATACCAGCATCATCGATAGTATATTAAAAAACTAATCGATTTATATTAATATATTTAGTTCCGAGTGGAGCAGTTTTATATATTTTGACTTATTTTGATAAGTGCTTCACTGTATTGTCTGCCCCATGTTATTGAGTTAGGCTTAAATCCAGTACACTTTCTTTGGCTATTTTTTAACTTTTGAATTATATGTTGTATTTTATGTATATTTATTGAGCATGCGGGTAAGGGCCAATTTACCTTTTTGACAATTGACGTCATAATGTAATTTCACTTTCATCCTTTCTTGTAATGTTCGCTCGCTTCATCAAAACTGTAAAATAAGGAAGTTAAATTTAATATCAATAAGCATTAAAAAGTGAATTTGGTGTCTGTTTAGGATTGATACTTTAAAATCTATTAACCTATACATCTGTTGCCGGTAGTTTACAAAATAATTGGTTGAATTTTGAAATTTTGAAAAAAAGTAAACTTCTATAATTACCTGTATACGATATACGTTTGAATATTTTGACATATTTAAAATATCATTGCTAAACGGTAAAAAATCTTAATTAAAATAAAAAACATAATTCTTTGTTCCTAACATTTCTTTCTGTTTACATACAATATTCATGTGTATTAAATAATATGGATAAATAATACAGTCTATGTAACAAATCTCTCGAGAATAGGCCATCATTTCGTTTGTATCATTTTGAAGTTTTTTCATGAAAAAAAAGAAAGATTTATGTTCAATGTTCAGCACAGCACGCGAATTGTGAGATTTGTTTTATGTACACTATCAATTTCTCAACTACAAAGAAGTGAATTAAAGGCATATTAAGCAACAGGAAAAGATAGACTTTCTCTCTGAAGAAAAGGCAAACTTGTGTTATGTAATGTTTTTATAATGGATTTAGAGCATATTAGATGCTCATTACGTGAAAAAAACAATATTGAATGTGAATTTGTCTGTCATAAAGTAGCAAAAAAGTGGTATAATGTCTTTCATATAAAATATTAAATCACCAGCACTAATCTACGGACCAAAAGCAAAAGATTGTAGTGCAGTTTTGACAATGAGTTCCGTTTCGAAATATGTTTCCGAACACGAAACCTGTTACCGAACACATAAAAATAATAAATAGGAAACAACAGCATTTTCATGGGCTACGAGTATGAAACGAATATATATGAATATATAACATAAACGTCAGTTAAGGAACAAATTCACTAATAAAAAAAACAACAACATGTACGGATAAAAATGCATCGCTTTTGTGTTTTAAGTTTGAAACACACACTATCAAAAAGGGCTTATTTAAAGTGCGATATTTGCTTGCCAAACTTAACATAGCAGATGTCAAAGAAACTAATAACAACAACTAAAATAAAACTACAACATGTACGGATAAAAATGCACCGCTTTTGTGGTTTAAGTTTGAAATACACAATATCAAAAGGGGCTTATTTAAAGTGCGATATTTGCTTGCTCAGACATAACATAGCAGATGTCAAGAAACTAATAAAACAACTGTAAAAAGTAAAACAATGGGAAGCATGGATCGATCTGATGTAACACATGAGCTGCATCAATTAGGAGATCTTGTTAAGTCCCTGCAAAGTCAATATTCGAGGTATCAAGTGGACTATCTAAGATTTCACGTTGTTATAAAATGTGACTGGCTTCGTGGTGTTTTTTTAGCAAGAAATTGCTTTTAACTATAGTAATTGTGTTGAAGGAAATGTATTGATAAATTATCTTTTTAAAAATGTTTTTATATCATTTTGTAATGACAACAATTTCTGGGTAACTCTACCACTGTCTAATGTATCAGCTCCTTGTTTTATAATGCTAATATATTGTGTGTTAATTTAAGTTAATCAACTCTAACAAATACATTACTAATATATTGAGTAAATATTTACTTCTTACGCTTATAGATGTATACTAATTATCAAAATTGCTTTCAATTTCGTTCTCTACATGTTGTAATATCACTATGTATGTATTTACATTGTGCCAAAATAAACTATATTTAAATGAACAATATGGAGCTTCTTTAACGAAAGAAGCCAGATGTTTTTTAACGGCAACGTTCAATATTTCCATGGCTGGTATTGTACGTTTAATAGGTCGCGATAAGTGCTATCAATGGTATTGCTTCATTTTTATTTATTTGTAACAAAGCTGTTCTTAGTCAAGTAGGCGGTAAATCCCTGATAAATCTCTTAATTATTTACTTTTGAACAATTAATGGTACGTGAAGTTATCGATGTCAATCATTCCGCTACTTTTTGTTGTTGCTTTTCCTGGACTGAGGAAGAAGTTCACCAAAAAGTAACATTCGGATGTATACGTCATTAATATCGGCAAAAATAAGTCTTCAAGTACAAGCGTAACATTATCATTTGATAACACCAAAATGTGAAATAGTATTTTTGTTTTGTTTTCATACATGTCAGAACATTTCTTCAAAACAGCTTAAAATGTTCAAAAACATTATATTCTTTTAGTGTGCTGTGGCAATATTCTATCATAAGTTTTTTATTCAAGTAATATATACTTTCAAGAAAACGTCAAAGTCTTGAATCATATTTTACATAGTTGTGCATCCAATCTGTTAAAGTTCAACAGTTATTCTGTGTATATTTCTTATCTTTCCTTCAAGAAATGGTAAAGTTTGATTGGCGACATGGCCGAGTGATTAACGCGTCGGACTAGTAATCAAAGGATAACTGGACGCATGGATTCAAACCTCGTCAGGGGCAAGCTGTTGTCTCCGTGAAAAAACTCTTTACACTCATTGCTTAATACAAATTGGTTTCCAGGAATGGATTCGTGAGTGTTTTAATTCAACACAATGAAACTATATTGAATTCATATAAACTAAATAATAAAATAAATAAAATGTATGGACTTTTCTGTTACTAATATATAGTTCCAACTAGTACGAATTCTTTATCTATCTGGCTCAGATTATTTCAAGTTACTTTTAGAATATTTCTAAATTTTAACTCCGTTGTTTAGTTTCTTGCTTGGTTGTTAACATGATGTCTCTATGGACTATAATTTCAGAATAGACGAAAACTATATTTATTGACAACGCTATCATCTCTGAATCCTAGGCAGACGATATTTGCCATCTACTTAGTCTTGCAATCATACTTCACGTGCTGAATATGTGACAAGGGTGACAAAACAGCATCGTATTATAGCTGGATAATATTTAGAGTGTTCTGATGCCAATAAATATAAATGTTATGCATTTAATATGACAGTAAAGCTTGAAATGTAATATGACCTTTACAGTGTCGGTTCGACTTAAAATCCAACTATACACAAACATAATGAATGTATAATGTTACAAGCAACTTTCTTCAAATTATATCAATTGGGATCTATTGGGATATGCAATCAACAAAAGATAAAATAACAATGACATTTTTAAGTTTTCTTTCAGCGCATGATACAATTATATACTGTGTAAATGCTAACAAAATGAAACAAATTAAAAAAAAACAAAGGTTTATTTAAAATAAACACATTCATTTCCACTGATTATTTCTTCAAGTTTTATCATTTGATCTTATACAATGTCAATATAAAATTTTAAATGTCAATGTAAAAGATAAGGCACAATGGCAACTGGAATCCCTTTAAAATCTAGAAAATTTGAAAATTCAATTTACATCCGACTAACAATGTACATCAATTTTTTCTGCACGTTTAAACACAAAGCTTTTAAGAGACTGTCATGAAAAATTGCAATTTATTTGTCGGTGAACTACAAAGAGACAAAGATTTATTCTCCTTGAGCGTGTTTCTTGTAGTTACGGTATTAATCCCTCTATTTGACAGAATCATCAAACTACAATCACTATCAAATATAATAAAGCTAAAAATATTTTTTTAATAAAAACTTTATCAAGGAAACAGAGCGCGTTGGTTTCCTTTTTTTCCATTAAATGGGCTAATGTTTATGTTTTACTTCTTAATTAGAAAAGTGTAATGTGAGAACAGATAACAACAATGTGCTGTGTTTTTATTGCCTTTATATGTTTTGTTTAGAATACAGTTTCATGTGATAACATTTATATTCACATCTCACAGGCATAAAAATTTGGAAAGAAACAGTTGTGGGCAGTTTATTTTGTTTCTTGGCAAAATATCTTAAATTTAATGTGCTTGCACTTTTCACGTTTCAAACACATTTTCTACAGCTTTATTTTAAAGATTGCACTTTAAAATCCATCCACAATTAACAGTGGATGGAAGCACATAAAGAGCTTAATTTTAGGTACAAGGCGTAAAAAATCTCTTATAATTAACACTTGAATATTATTCCCTGCGGGCCGGAGCCCGCAGGGTATTGGTACGCGTTTAATTTTTGAGGCATGGAGGAGCACGTGACCTGTTTTCGGTACATGGAGGAGCATGTGATCTGTAAACCGTACATGATTGGTTAATTGACCTATTCGAAAACCTAGCTAAATACCGTTTCCCGGTACGTTACGGATTTACCTCTAGGGAATCATTGTATACACACCGGTCTCTCAAATGACCGGTGTACACAATGCTAGGGAATTAGTCCGAATTACACCTAATTAAGAACATAACACTATTACGTGATATTTCTAATTTTCTATTATTATTTTACCGTTTAAGGTGGAAAAACTTGCATGATGTGTTTGAAAATTATAATTGTTTCTTTAATATCTATCTGAAATTTTACAGACAATAAATTGTTTATAGTGAAAATCCACAGAATTAAAACATAGAGATATTTTCTGCGTAAACTTGTGTGTTTACTTTATTTTATTTTATTATTTTTTTGCACGGAATTATTCATACAGTGGTATTTAATCATTTTCTTAAACAGAAATATTGTTTTATTTTCGACCAAGACCAAAGACCTTCTTCTATTGATCGATTATTGTCAACTATATTCCTGATACAAACGTTATTTTTTTTTCCCAAACCATGTTGAAAATAGTTAAATGAAATATCTTTAAATCTTTATAAATGTTTCCCGCAGGATATATATTTTGAACACTTAGCCTGCTGTCTGCGACAAAATGTACGCATGCGCACAGTACAGACCAAGACTAGCCGACACATCAATGGTTTACACTGTTCGCTATTTAGTAAGTACTGATTTTGAAATTTTCTCATAAAATGGTGAATGGATTTTATCCAGATAGAAAGATTTTCGAGTCCATTTAAGACATTTAGTTTGGTAAAGGTTTCCATGTGTTTTTCTTTCTCTTTAAGAACAATTGCGTGCTTGAAAGTGATCGTAATACAAACGTTATATTGTTTCATACTATTAC